TGTTATGGATATAATGTAGAGAGCTGCAGGTTGGGGGTTTATTATAAATATATGTAAATATAATTAGACTTTATCTCGCTGTGAGTCTGTCCGCTACATAGAGACAAATGTTTCAGTTATAATATTATTATAGATCTATTATAATAGAAATCTCTGCTTCATTATTATTATTATTATTAGTATTGTTGTTGTTGTTGTTCATTGCTGTGTCCTTAGTGTCACTACCAGCAGATAAAAGACAGATCACGTGATTTGATTTAAATAAATAAAAATATAACCGAATATGATATAAAATAATATAAACCCCATAAATACAGTTAGTGTTACTGATGGACCCTTAAAGACCCTTAGAGACCCTTAGAGGCCCTTAGAGACCCTTAAAAAAGACCCTTAGAGACCCTTAAAGACCAGAGACCCTTAAAAAAGACCCTTAGAGACCCTTAAAAAAAGACCCTTAGAGACCCTTTAAAAAAGACCCTTAGAGACCCTTAAAAGACCCTTAAAGACCCTTAGAGACCCTTACAAACCCTTAAAAAAAGACCCTTAGAGTCCCTTAAAGACCCTTAGAGACCCTTAAAGACCCTTAAAGACCCTTAAAAAAAGACCCTTAGAGACCCTTAAAGACCCTTAGAGACCCTTAAAGACCCTTACAAACCCTTAAAAAAAGACCCTTAGAGTCCCTTAAAGACCCTTAGAGACCCTTAGAGACCCTTAAAGACCCTTAAAGACCCTTAAAAAAAGACCCTTAGAGACCCTTAAAGACCCTTAGAGACCCTTAAAAGACCCTTAAAGACCCTTAGAGACCCTTAAAAAAAGACCCTTAAAGACCCTTAGAGACCCTTAGAGACCCTTAAAGACCCTTAAAAAAGACCCTTAGAGACCCTTAAAGACCCTTAAAGACCCTTAGAGACCCTTAAAGACCCTTAAAGACCCTTAAAAAAAGACCCTTAGAGACCCTTAAAGACCCTTACAAACCCTTAAAAAAAGACCCTTAGAGTCCCTTAAAGACCCTTAGAGACCCTTAGAGACCCTTAAAGACCCTTAAAGACCCTTAAAAAAAGACCCTTAGAGACCCTTAAAGACCCTTAGAGACCCTTAAAGACCCTTAAAGACCCTTAAAAAAAGACCCTTAGAGACCCTTAAAGACCCTTAGAGACCCTTAAAGACCCTTAGAGCGCCTTAAAGACCCTTAAAAAAAGACCCTTAGAGTCCCCTAAAGACCCTTAGAGACCCTTAGAGACCCTTAAAGACCTCTCTCTCTGTCTGTCTCTCTCTCTCTCTCTCTCTCGCTCTCGGTCTCTCTCTCCCCCTCTCTTCGCTCAGCTGTACCGTTTTGGTGTGGTGAGTCTGGAGCTTTCCCTGAGTAGTGCTTGGTAATTCATTCCCATGAATTCTGCACCATTGTCGGACCTCATGCATTCAACCTTTCCATATGGTGCTGTATCAGCGAGAAACTTCTGTTGCTTGTACTGTGTCATTCTTATTCCTTAGGAAGTACACAAACACTGCAGTGGAATAGTCATCAGTGAATGATAACGTGAACCTATACCCGTCTCTGGAATCTGGGTTCATAGGATAGTAAACAATATGTCACTCATGGACTCAAAAGGTTGGGAACCAGTGACATAGATCTTTAATGGAACGGCTGCTGCTACACCACCTGAGGCCACAGGTCCGCCACGCCCTTGACCCACTGCAGTTTGCGTACCAGGAGAAGGTGGGAGTAGAGGATGCCATTGTGTACCTGCTGCACAGATCCCTTTCTCACCTTGATAGGGGAAACGCTGCTGTGAGAATTACATTTCTGGACTTTTCCAGCTCCTTCAATACCATCCAGCCTCACCTTCTGGAACACAAACTAGCAGACATGGAAGTAGACTCACATCTGGTGGCATGGATAATGGACTACCTAACAGACAGACCCCAGTATGTGCGACTGAGGGACTGCAGGTCTGACACTGCGGTCAGTAGCATGTGAGCGCCGCAAGGGACTGTGCTCTCTCCAGTCCTGTTCACCCTGTACACATCGGACTTCAAATACAACTCAGAGTCCTGTCACGTGCAAAAGTTATCGTGGACTGTATCAGGAGTGACCAGGAGGAGGAGTACAGGAAACTCATCCAGGACTTTGTCACATGGTGTGACTCCAACCACCTGCACCCCAACACCACCAAGACCAAGGAGATGGTGGTGGACCTCAGAAGGCCCAGGGCTCACCCGGAACCTGTGACCATCAACGGTGACTGTGTGGAGTTGGTACAGACATACAAATACCTGGGAGTACACCTGAATGATAGGCTGGACTGGACTGCCAACACAGACGCCCCGTGCAGAAGAGGTCAGAGCTGATTATACTTCCTCAGAAGGCTGGCATCCTTCAACATCTGCAAAAAACTGCTGCAGATGTTCTATCAGACTGTTGTGGCGAGCGCCCTCTTCTATGCAGTAGTGTTCTGGGGAGGCAGCATTAAGAAGAAGGATGCCTCCCGTCTGGACAAACTGGTGAGGAAGGCGGGCACAGAGCCGGACAGCCTGACATCTGTGGCAGAGCGACGGGCACTGAACAGGCTCCTGTCAATCATGGACAATCCACTGCATCCACTGCACAGCACCATCTACAGGCAGAGAAGCAGCTTCAGCGACAGGCTGCTGTCACTGTCCTGTTCCACTGAAAGACTGAGGAGATTGTTCCTCCCCCACACCATGAGGCTCTCCACCCAGGGGAGGAAAACCATAACACTCTAAACTCCAATATATCTGCCCTGTATCAAACTGCACCACCTGCAGTGCACCCTGCATTATGTGAACACCTGCTTATGCACCTTAGGCCTTTTAAGCACTGGATTTGACCATGCACTTTAGGACACTTACCCAATAGTCGTTATTTTGCTATTTATTCTATTTGATTATATTAGTTATTTTGCATTTGACCTCCTGTTGTTGTTATTATTATTGTTATTGTTATTGTTATTGTTATTATTATCAGTCTGGGGATACTGCTGGAAACTGTGAATTTCGCCTTGGGGAGGATTAAAGTATCTATCTAATCTAATCTAATCATCTAATGATTTGATGTTCTGAAGATCAATATCTAACTGTGGACTTACTCACACACACTCACACACCAATCTAAAGCAAACAGGTTTTGATGAATGAATTAATAAATGACTCAGAATCATGTTTGTATTCTCCCACTTCCTTTATTACATTTTTTTGGTTTTTAATATGCTAATAGTAATAGTACAACAGTGTAATCAATCTTCATTCACAGTAACTTCAATCTACTAATAAACACCATTTTAATGTGGCGTATTTTCCTTCCACTGGATCGCTAAACCTTCTTGCTGCAAAGCTTCTTTCAGCTGAGCCTGACAGACTTCTTTTAACTTCATGTCACCAAAACACAGAACTTTCTGCATTCACGAGGTAGCATTTAGGCTGTGTACAGTTAAAGTAGGCGGTTAACATCATAGTGAAGAAGAAATTATATATGTTTTATAAAAGAGCCCACAGTACCAGGAAGTAGTGCATGTAGTAAATGAAACCCTGTAAACCACCATTACCGTAAAACTTCAATTTTTATTTATTTGGGACAGGCTTCTATATGGGACAGGCCTTTAAACGAGACAGGCCTTTAAAGGGACAGGCTTCTATATGGGACAGGCCTTTAAAGGGACAGGCTTCTATATAGGACAGGCCTTTAAACGGGACAGGCCTTTAAAGGGACAGGCTTCTATATGGGACAGGCCTTTTTTGGGGGGAGGGGCTTTTTATTGCCAGCTAGAGACAGCTGAATATAGACATGAAAGGGGGACAGAGAGAGGGGATGACACGTAGCAAAGGGCCGCAGGTCGGATTCAAACCCTTGGCCGCTGCAGCAAGGACTCAGCCCCCGTACATGGGTTGCCAGCTCTAGCCACGGAGCTAACTTGGCGTCCATGAGGCAGGCTTCTATACGGGCAGGCCTTTAAACGGGACAGGCTTCTACACTGTAAATAAACACAGTAGAGTTTTTCTATAATTACGGTAAAGGAGTTTAGTACTGTTGGTTTTACAGTCACACCAGTTTTTACCATCAAAAGCAACAGTTTTGCCACATGAAAATACCGTATGATCGTAGTGAGATATGGTATATTTGTGGTTTTCTGTGTAATTTACAGTCTGTAACATAAAAAATATTTTATTCTGTATAAACTCCTTTTTAAAATGGCGTGTCGAATTGGGAACCTGCTTTTAATCAAAGTTTTACGGTATTTTTCTTCATTGCACACTTCACTTCTATTATTATTATTTCACCAAAGATTTTGTTCCACTCTCATTATTAATTGGCCTGAATCATTGGATTGACTCAGCACCAATTCTGCAGAAATAACATGATCCTTCTCAGGTGGATCCAATGAAGATCAGTGTTATGATAATTATATCATATTTCACAGCAACAGTAAAAACACATGAACAAAAACCCCAACCTTAATTAACCGACGTGAACATCTATCTTGTCCGAAACACGTTCTATATATGTTATATGTCTTGTTTTATATGAAGAGTAGCTGCTACCTTAGTGCAGCTACTGGGAAATAAAGAACTTCAAACATTGTTTCATAACCAGCGTGCTTTCAGGCTCCTCATTGGGATGAAGGTTGAGTCAGGAATCATCTGAGAAGACAACCAAACAAAACAGGGATTAGTCATGATTTATACTCTGATGGAGATTTTTCTGTTTCTGCACAGAAAATATCAAAGTCTGATCGTCAGATTACCAATAAATTAACTGATCACATTCCTGCTACTGACACTTTAGATTTTAATGCCCTGTGAACTTTCCTCTATAGCGCCACCCACAGGACAAACTTTACATATTGAGCACCAAGAAAAGCAAAATCATTAGTATGATCAAATCAACTCTGACCTAAAGAACAAATGAATTTGTTGAAAAAAGGAAATAAACTGAGTAAAGTGTGAGTGCTCTTCCTCTGGTGCCCTCTTAAATAATTTAAATGTTTATGAAAGGCACTTAATTCTGATTAAAGACACACTTAAGATCAATCTTTAACTGTGAGCGGCTTTATACACAGCCATGTAATTAATGAGAACGGAGAAGTCTTTACCTACTTAGTCCAGGTCATAGAGATGAGGGCTGGGTTTCCATCGGCATATTTGGACCTGAGAGATCTGCGCTTCCTGCCACCTCCACAGCTCTGTCAGACAGGGGATGGTTTGATTTGTTCAATATGCTGACGATACTTCTGTATTCATGCAGTACCTCTACTTGAGTATTTTTACATTGTTGTATTACTACTTTTTACTCGAGTATTTCCTCCCTGCTTACCGGAGCACAGGCATTGCTCTGTGTGAGGCACAGCTCCACTTTGCAGTGCAGGTAGATGTCGCCGGTTTTCCCAGAGAACTCGAACATGTTGAAAGAGAAGCCGTTGGACGTTCCCACTCCGTTTCCCTCAGTCATCACTGTCTTGTCAGCAGCGTTCGGGCATCTGCTCAGAAACAGGAAACGGACATGATGACGTCAGCAGCAGTAGAGCCTCCGACAAAGTCACAGTTTTGTGTTTTTTTGTGTTTTTCTCACCCGTTTTTGACAAGGTCGTATCGCAGGGTCCCATTGGGTGAGGAGTCGTTGGATGCCCAGCAGGAGTCGGTGACCACGGCGACTGTGTTGTTGTCCAGCCCATCTGTCTTCAGCTCCACCCAGATCTTCTGGTTCAGCCCGACCTCAGTGTTTGCGTTGACGAGGTTCTTGTGGCCGGAGTCGTTGTAGGCGTTCATCGTCACAGTGTAATTCCAAGCTCCAGATACAATCTGCTTCACCACAGAGCTGAAGAGCACACACACACACACACTTCAGCCGTCTTTAACTTCAACTACAACAGGATTCAGTCGGCACATGAACAACCAGGTGAAGCTCAGCGCCCCCCCACACACCTGTCTTTGATCTGATTTTTACAGTCCTGACTGATAAAAAAGTCTTTATCATCCAGCTGGTAATTCAAACGTGTCTTTCTGTCATAAATAAAGAAAACCAGTGGAAAATGTCCTCCCTGTATTGAACCAAAGGTTGAGTTTACAGTTTGTGCCCCTGCTGGAGGACAGTACCCACCATAACCTCCGCCCCGCAGGCGTTGCTGCTGTTGAAGCTGAACGTCACCATGTGGGTCTCGCTGTCTATGTGACCTGTGCAGTTCTGGTCCTTGAGGTGTAAGGCGGAGTAGTCGATGCCTTTGTCCGTCAGCAGACAACCAGCCAGAGTGAGAGTGGCCGAGTTCTGCGTGCAGACTGTCGGCTCGCCTGAACAGCAGGACAAAATAGTCAAACAGTCACCACTTTAATATGGATTTATTCATCCTGCAGCAGCTGGTTCGTGCTAATGTTATCTTCTTAACTGACATTAGACTGGAGAGGCCCGACAGGCTCTGCACCAAACCACAAAACCCAAAACCGCTGTGCCTCTGCCAGATGTTTCCAGAACTAAAGTCATCTTTGGACATATCAGCAGCTGGTTTATGAGTTACCTGCTCTTCTGTTTTCTGTCATTGGCTTTGTTTGCCTTCCTCTGGGGAACACTTTGTACAATTAAAATGAACTCTATAAATATAATGAAAAACATCCAATTCAGCTCCCGAGCTAACTGATATAAAATTCCCTGCTAGCTGTAGTCTGTAAAACAGTTCAAACTTTACAGGTTATAGCTCCAAAACCTTGTAGAGAATTTATTTCAAAACAACAAACATTAAAAAGTGTCTCATAACAGGATAAAATCTAGAAAATGTTTTTTCATGTGACGGTTGTGGCACAGTACCTAAAGAGTTTGTTGAGTTGTACTTGGCAGCGAAAATGGCCCGACAGAGGCAGCTGGTCGAACCGAGCTTCTCACCGCAGAACTCATGAGCACTGCAGTACTTGTCCTGACAGGAGGCCTGAGGGACAGCAGCTACAGACAGACAGACAGACAGACAGACAGACACATGAGGCTCACTATCAAATAAAGGACGAATGACTGTTCATGTAAACAAGTTTGTGATGCACTTTTTACTGGACAACAAAAATCCAAAATACTCCACTGGTCCAGGAACAGTGAAACATTTTTAATGAACTAACTGATTTTTTTATACTCGACTTCCTTCTGCTTTTATTCCACTGAATTTATTTGACAGCTATAGCTACCTTTTCAGGTAAACATGACAAATACAAAACATGTGATTCTATAGTTATAGATTCAGTACAAAGGTATGTGTATAATAGCTCTCTAGAGCAGCAGACACTAAAGTGCTTCACAAAAACAGAGCACTAGTTATATAAAAGAAGATCAAATGTATTAAACATTTAAATTGAACATTGAAATGCATCAGTGATAATTATTCATTCTGCACAGTGAATACTTTTACCATCTGTACCTTTTTGTTGATCATACTGCAGTATTTACGTAGCAGTCATTTATTATTGGGTGGCACTTAACTCCTTCCACAGTTTTCATCGTCCAAAAACGTCATTCAGACGTCAAAATATTCAACTCATTCAGGAATCGGGTTACTATTACTTTTCTCTTTCATACTTTTCAAAACATTCCAGGTTTTCTGGCATTTTTCCCCGTTCATCCTTATGGACGCAATGTTCGAAATTCAACAGGAAACCTTCAAACCCACTGATCTCCAACCTCTTCCCACACATTCATACATTCACAAAGAAACTATTCAAACTTTCAGACGTTCACAACTAATTTGACTTTCTCCTATTATCACCATGGCAACCTTTCATTGGGGTTGGGAGCACACAGCTGATTGAGATGAGCTAATTAGGGCAGACAAGTATTTTTCAAACTTTAAACTCGTGATTAGTGTTTCTCACTTTACCAGCTACAATATTTCTTCAGCTTCCTCAATACGATACAAATTAAAGCCAGTAATTCAGTTTAGCGTCAACCTTTGAACAGCCAATTTATTAAGGAACTGCCTTCTCTAGTTGTTGTTGTTGTTTCTTATGTAAAGGGTCTTAATACCATTACTGATGCTCTAAATTGTACATTAAATGAAATAAACCTCATGTCAAATTTTAACTGAAGTTTTGAGTTGAATGTAGCTAAACAAATATATACTGCACAGAATTTGTATACGAGTATATGTATACCATATACATTTTACCCACATTCTGACTTTGCTCCAGTATTAAAATTGATGGTTGTGTTTCTGTCAATAATTCTACTTTCTCTGTCCTGTATGATTAGGATTTGTTTCAGCCTGGAACAGCAGGAGGAAACCAATACGGTTTTATTTTGTCTTATGAAACATTGAAGTGAAATGACGCTCTTACAGCAGTCGGTGTTTGACCTCCAGTTCCCCACTGTGATGGTCACTTTCAGGCGGCAGGACTCGGCGTAAGCCTCCAAAAACTGGCACTTATTGAGGCCGTCCACCGCTGGATATTTGCACAGAGTGCCTGTGCAGGCGGTTACGAAGGGCTCAGGGTCAGAGTGGTTGTGGCAAACAGTGAAGGGGGCCTGCTTTATGAGATTGCAGCTGGGAGGAAGAATGACAGTCAATTAGCAGGTTTCTGAACAGTATCGTGTAGGAACGTATGATAAAGATGACTCGTTCCTGTTCTGAAGATGATAGGAAGGTTCTGATTGGTCAGTTCTTACTATTCAGTTGTGCGGGTGCAGTTGATCGAGCTGTCAGCGGTTTGGTTGTGCAGAGTCTCGCAGCTAGGAGGCGACAAACAGCACGGGACATTCAATTAGAAACCAATGCTGCATTAATAAACAGGTTATATCAGTTTGGTTGAGACTGAGTTTTACCTGTCTGCACTGTCATTAGAGGACTTGGCTGCACTCAGGGTGAAGTTCTGACTGGAATCAGCGGGGTTGCCACACAAGCCCTCCATAGCTCCAAAATGTCCTGGTCGATGTCAGGAGGCAATTAAAGACAAATAAAAGAACTTCCATCAGTAAGCTCAGCTGTCACTCTTCAACATGAACAACTTTGAAATGACACAGATATTTTGTCCAGATAGGATTTCTGTACCTGTCACATGTGCAGTGTTGCCATCAAAAAAGACTGTGGCGTTGATGGAAGGAATCTTGGCAGTAACTCCAGTCTGGTTCTTCGAGAGCTCCACCCCGTGAACCACCTGACCCGTGGCGTTGAGCGTTAGCGTTTGTTGACCATCCTACATCACAGCAGATAGGCAACATGAGGGAAACACTGGCTGAAATAACACAAACACACACCAACATGTGCTTTGCATGGGTGCTTGTTCCAACTTAAAGAAGGATTTTTCAATCTTTAGTTTAGGTAACACCAGCACATTTGAACTCCGATTGTCTCCTCTTATCACTCACAGCGAGAACAACACTTTCAATAGTGTTTACTGGCAGAACAACAAAACAAAGAACATGCTGAAAAAGTAACGTATGACAGAAGTGACGAATGAGAACATTAGTAAAAATAATCTGAATGTTCCTGTTGCACCAACGTTCATTAGACGCAGCTATCCATCCATCCCAGGTTAAAACCTCAAATAGCACCGCATTGTAATTCTGTGCAACTATTTTATTACACTTGAGTAAATAGGATCACATTATATTGTGATATTTAAAATTTTCCACCACCGCACCTGTCTTGAACTACATCAACACAAGTAACTCCTGGCCTGTAATGATCATCAGTGATCGATCAAATAAAGAGGATGGAAGGAGGACTTATGAGTCCATAAATAGGCTGTTAGTCTTTGGATGGGTTGTGGCAGCTTACCCGGACTCTTCCACCTTGCTCCATTTTGACAATTGACCCATTCAGCGACAGTATCAAGTGGTCCAAAAACGCCACATCTTGGCGGCGGCGCTCACGGAAACCCGCCAGTAGGTTGAAGGCTGAGCTTCCTAGAGGCTTCATCAGACTGTATACGCAGCGATCAGGGACAGAGTGGACTCTGCTGGAGAAATCGATGATGCTGGAGGCAGTCACAGTGCACACGTCAGCGGCTCTTACGCACCTGATGGAGAAGGAAAGGGATAGATATTCTGTCTTTTTATTTCTGAGAGAAAAAAACCTCTCAGAAAGAAAGGTGTTTTATTTCATGAAGATGACATTTCCAGTTAATATAACTTTGAGGAAAATGAATCCTCACTAGAGTGACAGGACGATGTGTATTAACTTAACTAAAAGCAGAGGGCACTGCTATTGTGACAAAGACAAATACAAACCTAACCACAGATACCATACAAAGGATCTGAAAAATCCCTCAGTGACCTTAGATTAAATAAAACCTCTGTGGGGGGGCCCTGGTAGCTCAACTACAGAGCTGGAGCTCCATGTACCATGAGTCCATGCTGCAGCAGGCCATGGGTTCAACTCCCTCCCCTATCTCCTCTTTCCTGTCACTCTACAGCTGTCACTATCGATTAAAGACAATAAAAGCCTCCAAGAGTATATAAAAATAGAAAATCTCTAGATCTTGAGACAGTCATTGGATAGAAAAATGCTGTATATATATGTAGTTATTATTTTTATTCTAATTATTATAAATGGTGTAAAAGACGTCTTTGTTGTGAAAAAGAGCAGAAAAAAATCAATATACTATATACAGTTAGTCAATGAATCAATAAGGTGATTGACAATGAATTGGTTCCCTCTTCTCAAAAGACTTGAAAACATCATCCTCAGTTTCTGGCTACATTAGCCGCTACTAGCATAAAACACCTGACTCTCCAAAAGAACGGTCAGCAGTCGAGTTGCATTGTGGGAAATGTAGTCAGCAGGCTTTGAAGGATGAAATCATACTTACATGTTGTTGCCGATGCAAGACTCCTCTGATCCACATGTACTGACACTGACTCCAGATGATTCAACTGAACAGACCAATTGGGAGCAGGTTTCTGAGCTGTTGAACATTATTTCTCCAGTCTTAAAACCGGCGTCTGGGAGGTGATAGGAGGTTTATGAAATTAATTTAACATTAAACTGGTGTACAAAACATAAAGGAGAGGAAATAACAATAGATCAGATGGAAATATTTGCCTACTTTGGTTTCTGCAGCCGCTTATGTCCACATAAAAAGAAGTTTTATTCTTCAGCACTGAGTCCACAGTGGAGTTATCGACCGTCATATTCACAGACTAGAGAAGGAATAGACAAAATTCAAGGTTAATAATGTAATACTGTACTAACTCTGAGTGACTTCAGTTCCCCTTTTTATACATGTATAAATATTTGTCTCCAGTTTCAGGCCCGAGCATGAATCAGAATCAGATTTGTGCTGTTCATCTTATGTGGACATAAATACCCTAAAAATAGAAGCTGAGTGTCATTGTCACTGTTCATTTAAAATACTACAGAGCCAATACGACATAAATGTGTCACTGCATTACTGTTCCTTCACTGCAGTGTTTATGAGCAATGAGGAACTGTTTCAAACTAAAGTTCTATGTTGTTAATGGTCCGTCAGGATGCCCCAGTTTGTACCTGTCATATATTACCATTACATGGGATAATTACCCAGCAACCATTGTAAACCCAGAAGGTCCAGAACCCACTGCACAACAAAATAGACTGTTTAACTCATTTCAACAGTTGCCATGTGTTCTTAACACATTGTTTAGTATGTAGAAACACTGGAAAGAAACATCATCACATTTGAATTAAATAGATGATGAAGTCTTGAAGTCTGACAGCTATCTGTTGTCAGAAATGTTTGAGGGTTCTTGTTAAAGGACCTTCTGGGCTCATTTTTAGGAACATTGGCTGCTTGGGTCACACAGTGAGTCACACTGTGTTGGTAATACATGAGAGGAACCAACTGGGTCTACTCTCAGGGAACAGATTCTATAAAATCCAGTGGTGAACTTCAGGCTGAAAGTCTGAAATCACATCCTTCATTTGGTTTAAGGACAAAAGTTGCCACAGTAACAGACTCGGGCTAATCTCTGAGACCAAACGTCCATATGCCTTACATATACTTACAATAGTAGGGAGGCTAAACAGTGGACTGAAATACACAGCCGCTTGTTGTCCAGCTTGGTATAAGAATATGTACTGAAAACATAAACAGAAAAGATACAAAACACATTAGGAAATATTTTATATATATATATTTAATATTTTACAAATAAACATTGATTTGAATTTCCCTTTGCCAATCAATGTCTTTGAAATTTAACAGTTAACAATTGCATTGAAAGGATTGCATTTACAGTTTTAATTGAACTCATTATAGTATAATTATTTAATGAATTTATGTACTATTTTATGAATGATTGTACTGATATTCTTTAAATGAACATTTAAAAACCAATGTCCTGCAGTACTCCAAAGTGCCCCTAGGGGAGAAACACTGCTATAGATTGTGAATGCAGTCGCATTAGAGGCCATAACTCCCACTGAGTACGTTATTATGAGCGGCAGCAGCACGAGTAGTATTTCATTTGACATATTTGGAAGTTGTGTCTGATTTTTACTTTTATCCTCCAGTGAACACATTTTACATTCTGTTTGTTTTACACTCCTTTCCTGTATCAGTAGTTGACAGTTTCACCACAAATATAACAAGATTAAATTATCAACATGAAACCAAATAAATGTGAATGTGAATGATAAAAATGTCTGCCATACACGTAGCTTTACCACAGCTTTGTAAAATGTGTCACGAAGTGATCTGACACTGAAGGTGAGTTTATTCACCGTGTTGGAGCTCACAGACTAAAAGCTTTGTCTTCTTAATAAGGAGCTAACAGATCAGACATAAACTGTGGACAAGTGATCGTTCTCAACTGAATATTCTTTTCCAAATCATTTCAACAGGTTGTGCAGTTTTTTCCTTAAAAAGTCACTGCTGAAGTCCCCATGAGAGAGGAGAGGAGCTTGTCTTACCGTCTGGAGGTTGGCTGGAGCAGCAGGAGATGAAGCTTTGCAGATGGAGGTCGGTGTTGAACCCTTCTGGATGTTGCAGCTCTTGGGCTGATGTTGCTGCTGTCCGTCTCCATCTGCCTCTTTTTATGCTCAGGTGTTTGTGCGTCACGCCCCTGAAGATGGAAACATTGACGTACAATGCATTAAGTGACTGTTGTTAACCCATAAATGTCCACACACACACACACACACACACACACAATGATTTATTATTATATCTTAACTAACATTTAGTTGGGTTTTATAGTCCCTTTAATCGATAGAGAGAGCTGTAGAGTGACAGGGAGGTGACACGCAGCAAAGGGCGTCAGGTCGGAGTCCGACCCATGACCGCTGCAACAAGGGCTCAGTTCTGGTACATGGGTACAGGTCCCTAAAAGCACCTTGATTTGATCAGCACTGATGGATCTACACTGTGTTTCAATAGATAGACAATCTGACCCACAACAGCATCAATCTACAAAATATATCACACCTGTAAAAAGAACGTCATTTATAGTGTTTTTATTGATGTCAAATATCAAGACAGATCAAATTTGACCCAAACTGTAACTGTAAGAGTTAGAATATGAATCAAACTTCTGAAGTGCTATAAAGGAAATGAGAAACTCCACAGTGGATATTCGGATTTTATACATTATTATTTTATTATTATATAAAGGAGGGAGGATTGTAGTGGGAGCACGGGGGTGTCAGGTGTGACTGTGTGAAGGTAGGAGGAGGTAGGACAGCCTCTGGGCAGGAATTAGATTAAGGCGCCATAACTGCTCTTAAAATGCACCAGGACCACATTCTGTCACTGTGAGCCGCCTTTCTACCCTGAGGGGGGGTCAGGGACACTACTGTGGCCAGAGCTGGAGTTTTTCTGTCCAACAGGTTCTTCAAAGCAGGAGGTTGTTTTTAAAACCTTCTTTTATTTTTTATTATTTTTAATCACCATTAAAATAAAAAACGTTCTCCCTCACCGGCGTACGGGAAAGGGTCAGACCCAAATACTGCTACTAAACATAACAAGTACTGTACACATAACTCCAATCTGCAGAATAAATCCAGAGTAGTTTTCACTCACACACCTACATGAGCAGATTAAAGATTTCCTGCCATATGTTGATGAGTTCAATCATATTTATGGAATTATTTCCACATATATATAATTGAACAACGGTGAAGGGTTATACATTTTATTTCATAAAAAGGGTAAATTTTTTATTTTATTCTTTTTAAACGCCTGATCTTCAGATCCAGTTATTCATTTATATCCACTGCTACTACACACACAAGCTTTATTTGTCCCTCTTTAATCTGCTCTGTTTCTCATCTCCTTTATAGCACTTAAAGCACAAATCTGTTGATTTCATAAACAGTTTTTTTGAATAATAAAAAACTTGACTCAGGAGGCTTAATCTGATTAAAAAAACTTGAAATGAATGCAACTCAGACTGATGGTTTACAGACACGTCTGTGTGAACGATCGAAGCGTCTTCATGTTGACTATAAATGTAACTGAATCCTGAGTGAATAACTCTCAGTGGTAGGTTTGTTGTATCTTACAGTAATCAGCAAATCAAGTGTAAAGGGTTTTATAAGAGTTTGCCCCGAAGCTGAACGCTCTGTTAGCTCAAACTGTTGAATGAGTTCAGTTTTAGCTTGTTAGTAAGCTGTCAGAGAAGCTCTGTGACTGTGTGCTCCCTTATGTCCTGGAAAACATGAAAAACATGATAGTTTAACTTGAAAAATATTATTTCACACTTAGTTTTAATTTATAACAGTGACCTTGGTTTCTACATCCAGCCTTCCAGTGGAATCAGGATCATCCTCACTTTTACCATCAAAACTGTCCTAATCTCTGAGCTTTAAAATACCCCAAACAACATTTCAGCCTGATCCCATATCACAGTTTGGTATGTTCAGGATCACATCTGTTTAGCGATCAGACTTTAGAGTTGGTGCCATCAATAGTAAGGTTTTAACGATGGATTTTGAAGAAGAAACAAAAAGACAATAGCTTTGGTTCTGCTACATTCATTTGAATTGTCTGACAATCCTATATGTCAATTTCTAACAGTTTGAAGGCTGATGGAGCGGACTACAGTCAAGGATTCATCGACACGTTGCCAGACCGGCTGAGTTGACTGACTGGTGGAAGGGACACTGCAGCTGCTGTGCCGGCCACTGGAGGGCGCTCTGGCATTGTTGACTTCAGGAGGACTGCTGGAACTATGGACTAGTGTTCAGGTTGGTCCACTTTCCAGTTGTAATGATAAAAAAATAAACATCCAAAAATTCCCAAAACAGGAAGTTGCCATATTAGCATCATGCAATTCTTTCTACATTTTAAAAAATAAACCAGAACTAGAATGTGGGGGGGAGAGAGGGGCTCTAACACAGTTTCAATGCACTGCAGCTGGGCCGATAACAGGTAAAGTTGCAGGCAGATGCGAGTTGACCTAGATCAGAGGCTCATTTTCCCTCTGGAGATTGCAACAACCACCCTCCGACCAGACCTCGTGCTCTGGTCTAATTCCTGCCAGTTCGCCTACATCATAGAACTGACACTTCCCTGGGAGGACACCATCGAAGAAGCGTATGAGCGTAAGAAGCTGCGCTACTCCAACTTAGCAGCTGAGGCAGAGGACAGAGGCTGGAAGATAAGGGTGCATCCGGTGGAGGTGGGGTGTAGGGGCTTTGTAGCCAGCACAACAGCGAAGCTCCTTAGGGAGGTCGGAGTCAGGGGACAGCCTCACAGACAAGCCATCAAAGAGCTGGCCAACACCGCCGAGAGGACAAGCCATTGGCTGGGGCTGAAGAGGAGCGACACCACCTGGTCAGTTTAGGCGAACAGCTAACCGCGGGACACACACCCAGGCTTGATCAACCTGCGGTGGGTCTGCTTCAGCAGAGGGTGTATTGTGATAACCCTGTGATACTGAGGGACACAACTGACGATGTGTCCCGCTGGTAAAGCCTTATAGCAGCCATCCTTCAAGAACCTCTGAAGTAGAAGTGGTGCAAACACTAGGGATTGTAACATCTAGTTCTTTCAACAAACCACATCTACAAGAAGTGATTTTCTAATGACGTGGCAGAGACATGGAACTAACTCTGACCAATTTCTGCAAAGAGAAAACAGGATTATCTTATAATTATTGTCAATTCTTCTGGACTACTTCATAAACAGGCTGTTTCATACTTTGTAGGATCTTAAAAATCTTCATGTTGTTAATTTTAATCTTTTTACTTTCTGTAACTTCCTGTATGAAGTTAACATTTGGGTTGGAAGCTTGTTAAAACAAACTTGTATTTTCCCCAAACTCAAAGATGAATGAATACACGTGGACTGTGGACGAAAACAAACATTAATCTTAAACAGGGATAAATATAAAATGTAAGACAATTTGACTCAAACTACTTCTTTAAGTTTAGCTTGTCATCCAGTCCTGTAAAATGATGAAAACAATTATGTGCGTCACCTACAGAGGTGGAAAAGTACACACATTCTTATTTAAAGTAAAAAGTATGTTTCCCTGAAGGACATCTGACCTTCATCTTCAAGTCTTTACGGCGTGTTGGTCATGTTCCGTCTGTTGATTTTGGAAAGGTGTTCAATGATGCAAAATAAGAGATAGTAAAATGTAAAGATAGTACAGTGATCTCTGAAAAGATTACTTAAGTACAATAACAAAGTATTATAAAGGATACTTCCCACTTGTTGTCACTTTGTTTCTACGAATAAAGCAGCCTGGGAACCAGACAGATCTGCGAGCTCATGTTTTATTGCTGCCCCCTCCTCAAGTCCTGGATCCGACCGGGCCGATCACAACCATGAATACGGAATGGGTTTTATATGACGACTGTTGAATCATGTCAGTATTAAACAAACTAGTCAGTATATTTTCTCTAAAAAGATCAAGAAAGAACTGCACTTAAGCTTTCGATATGAAGGATATCACACTATCTGAACCCAGAATAAACAAAGAATAAATCACCTTTGTCTTCCTGAATCAGATCAGATAAATGCTGATGTTTTAACAGTCAGGGATCAAATCAGTTCTTTTAACCATCTAAACTGGTCTTAAACTGGCACCACTTTGGCCACTTTATGCTGTTGTTTCATCAGTAGGG